GTGGAGTTGTGATCATCATGTGAAGATGTGATGTCCGAGTTCTGGGACTTATTAGCTTTCTGTTGCTGATGCTGATTAAACATATTCTGAAGTTGCTTTGCTTGTTCTTCTATTCTCAACTGTAAATTCCTTTGAATCTGAGATTGGAAGCAGTTTTGTGGTCAAACAGACTGATTTTTAACTTCAAAATTGACATCTATTCTTTAAAACTTGTATCAAGAACGTGAGAATGAAACCAAAATTGTCACCATGACACTATAATTCATTAATTAAGTAATGGATTTATTTTAAGATACGGAGTGATCATAGATTCGTACCTCTAGCCGCTCATGAAGTTGTCTCTGGACAGCAAGTTGCATTTGCAGTGCATCCTTATATTGCATGCCACTGATGAACGAGTCCAGAGTTTCAGATAAACGTTAGAGAAGAAACGAAAAATTACTCAATTTTTAAGACAAAGATTGTAAAAATTACGTTATATTTTCAATTTGCGATATCGCATCCATGCTAGTTCTCTTCTCGGTATGATATATCGAATGTATGGGATGTTCGATAGCTCTTTTCTTAGTTTGACTTTGATCCTCTTGGAGTACTTGGTTCTTCTGATTTTCCAAGAGAATAATTGTAAAATGTCTAGGTTCAATGCCTTTTGCTTTCCTTCTTTGAAAAGTTTTTTGTCCTCCACCATTGATCAACATGTACAATGATAACATGACAAAGGGAATTAAAACGGCTAAGGTTTTTTATTAAAAGGAAAGATAAATTACAACGGAAAAAAAGTAAATTATATGACAGTTTAAGCTAATTTGCATTTTTGGTTTTTAATTTTTTTTTTTTAAAACTTGAATCGTCCATGTAATTTGGTTTTGTTACACACTTGGTCCCTACTAGACCTAAAAAAACTATATTACCCTCATTTTTTTTCTTAATCATAAATCTACTAAAATAATTATCATATCAAATTACCACTCCTTTAATCCCTTCCCCCTCTACCACCTTCCCTCCCATGTTGTTCCTCTCACCCGAGTAAACTACTACTGCTCACTACCTTCTGTTACCGAAAAAACCCAATGATCGGTAAGTGGAATGAAACCAAAATCGCATTATCAATAAACCGAAAAAACATCATTGATTGATCATTAATTGGAATCAAACCTAGAAATCACACAATCGAATCCAAAACTTAGTAACAAAATCATTCAAATTATGAAATCAAAACCATAAGTCAAACATAGAAATCAACCCCATAAATTTAGTCAAACCTGAAATCAAAATCACAAACCAAACACTGCAAATCAAACCAGAAAATTTATTCAAACCAAAAATTACAACCTATCACTAGAGCTTTTAGGAGACATTGTAAGAAAATCATTGTTTTTTGAAGACTCTGATGGGAGAGATGGTATCGTCGGAAACTATGGCTTTGATTCTCAAGCAAATTGTTGAAGACCCTTATTGTTGAGATGGCTTTAAAGATTTTACATGCTGATAAGGTTTAGTCAAAGGAGTTTGACGATGGACTTTCTGGTGGAGAGAAAGCAAATGATGTCCATGGTTTAGGTATTGTAACATCCCAAAAATAAGACCCAAAAATTTTATTTTTAAATTAATAAAATAATATCCCCAAAACATCGTCATAAATCCCAAGTGAAACAAATGTATCAATACATCATAAAATATCAGAGTTTCATGAAAATACGGAACAATATCGTGTGTGCACTGCAATCACCATGAACTCTTCCCCTTTGCACCAGAAGTACCTGAAACATAAACTGAAAACCGTAAGTACGAAACTTAGTGAGTTTATCCTAAATACCACATATCACACATATCAACATATAACGGCCCCACCTGATGAGTGTAGAGGGCCCCGCCCTAACTTGCATAATGGGTCCCGCCCACTTAGTATAACGGGCCTTGTCTTAACTCTCACAACAGGCCCAACCCAACATACAAATATACAAGTATAACAAGTAATAGCATACATAATACCCATTGGACCCGCCCACTAAGCATACAAACATATATACATGTAAGAGTCACACAGACATCTAACACCCTAGCATAATAAACCATGGGTTGGCTTCGGTGCCTTCAACATGCTAAACACGGTGAGGAAGACTCACCTCAAGCTACTGAATCACTGGAATAAATCTCTGGTTGCTGATCTGGTAAATCCATATGCTATGAATATCAACAATATCCAATTTGTTAATTGGATCTCAACCCATAATCATAGGTCAAATCTATTGGCCCAAACCAATGTCCAATGTATTTACTAAGAGAGTCCAAAATCTAATTGACAATCCAAGGCTCAATCTTCCAAATTAGGCCCAAGACCCACCATGGGCCTAAAATCCAATGAAGCCTAACAAGCTAGTCCAAGTCCAACACAAAAGTATGGTAGTCCAAAAACTCCCCAAGCAATGGAAGCCCAAAAAATGATCCAATACCGAAAACGTCTAATCCAAGCCCATCTGTTGAGTACGCGCGGCGTACTCATCTCGTATGCTAAGCGTACTTCACCTAGGGTTAGTACACACAGCATACCAGTTGGGTACGCCCAACGTATTCCCTAGTGTGCCACCCCCACTCCATTAGGCACTTAAAGGTTTAGCTCCTACTCCATACTCTCAGACCTTGTCACAAAAGATGACTTATCACGTAAATTTGGCAACTTTATGTACATGCATGGCTTAATAGGGCTCTAGAGCTCAAAAGAGCTAAACAAAGGGTCTTAACACATGCATGAGTTAATATACACCATAAAGTTTGCATTTTTATGCATAAAGGACCCCTAAAATGTCCATATCTAAAAGGTTAAGCTTCTAAAATGGTCTTATCTCACAAGTACCAACCAAAGGAACCAAATAGCCATAAACAAACATGTAACACCCCAAAATGCAAGCCAAAAAATTAATTTTTAAATACGTCCTTATAAAACCAACAGTGTAATAAAACATTTGTAATATCATTTCATGTCAAAACCAAAGTAGAAATAATCAAACATGTTATCATAAAACAATATCAGAGTGTAATCCCAAAGATCTCATGTGTGGAAAACCATAGTGTGATGCGCTGCGATCAAGCCGGCTCCTTTCCTTTAAACACAAAGTACCTGAAACCAAAACTGAAAACCGTAAGCATGAAGCTTAGTGAGTTCCCCCATCATACCACATACCATATAATCACATAACATACATATATTGTCAGGCATATCTGGGTGCCCGACCTACCCCTTCGGTCCTCTCGATCGGATACTGACTAGCATATCTGGGTGCTGGTCTCCCCTTCGGTCCTCTCGACTGGATACTGACTAGCATATCTGGTTGCTGGTCTCCCCTTCGATCCTCTCGACCGGATACTGACTAGCATATCTGGGTGCTGGTCTCCCCTTCGGTCCTCTCGACCGGATACTGACTAGCATATCTGGGTGCTGGTCTCCCCTTCAGTCCTCTCGACCGGATGCTGGGGACTATTTCACCCCTTACCACTACCACATAACACGTATCACATAATCTATTTAACATGGCTGGGCATGACTGCCCCTTCGGCCCTATCGACCAGTAACCTGGGGACTATCTCCCATACTATGACTAGCACATAGCATCATATCATATAAACACATAAATATAACACAGATAGTAGCAACCCTAGATGAATATCACAGAGACAATCATCTAATCATAAAATTCCTACTAGTGGGCCGATATTGTGGCCATAGACCCACTGCTACTAGAAGGTAGCTCACCTCACACTGCTGAAGTCCCGAAGACAAAATCCCACACTTGCTGAAGTCCCGCAAACTCGACCCCAGCTGTTGGTTGACAGATTCCCGAACTGTCAACACCAAAATAACACCCAATTAATAATTGGGTCCTAATACATAACCATAAGTACATTCTTTGGGTAATTACTATATTACCCCTAGCTTGGCTTATTCAAGCCCAAGGCCCAAACCATAGGCCCAAAGTCAATTAGGAATCAAAGCCCAACACATGGCCCAATTTTCCAAATTGGGCCTAGGCCTATACATGATCTCATTCTAAGGCCCAACATCATATAATCATTAAGGCCCAAACTATGGCCCGATTTTCCAAATTAGGCCCAAACCCCTTACATGGGCCTTACCTTAGGCCCATTAGATTATTCTAGTCCATTTGCTTGACTTTGGATGGCCCATTAATAACGCAATCATCAAGGTCCAATAGAAGGCCCAACAATACACCCATGTGAACTTAGGGTTTCACTTAAATGATGATTAGGGTTAAGTGTTTCTCACTTAACCCATTAAGGACTTAATCCATTAAGTCTATCATTCTTCTAAATAAGTCATATGGTGTGATTGGGCTTAATCACACAATTCCATTATTCCAATGGCACACAAGTGGGTCTCAATAAGTCCAAGCCCATAAATCCAATATTAGGGTTTTCTAAACCCTAATTAGGGTTTCCAACCCATCTTAGCCCAATAGGCCCATTAGTTAAGTCCTTGGATCCATTAGGGTCCATTAAGCCCATTAGACACATGTTTGAGCTTTTATGCCCATTAAGCCTCATTGGGCCCATTAGGGTTTCAAGGCCCATTAGGGTTTTAGTCCCTTGACCAAACATCCCCAAACTAGCAATCCTAACACGACTAAGCACACCGCCACCCGACACGGTGGCCGGTGGCGGCAGGAGGCGGCAGCCACCACCCTAAGGTGGTGTTTTTCAAGTTCTTTTAGTATTGCAAGCTGTGATTTACATTTTACAATGTTAAATATCAAAATAAACACACACTAAACAAATAAACACACACACAACCACCTTGTGGTGGCCAGCGGCGGCAGATGGTGGCATCCACCACCCTATGGTGGTGGTGATGCCTTTTCCGAGGACTCCTGCCATACACCCACGCACACATCGACTAAAACATGAACTTCTTCATTCCTTTACTCGGAGAGGGAAGCCAACCACCCACTTTATGGCATAAGCCGGCAGCAACAAGGTAATGGCCTCTATGGCGGCTGCCATGGTGGTTTCCACGCTTTTCTGGCCAACAACAAGCAGGCATACATGCACAGAGACGAGCTAAGCAAGGAAACGCACCCCAAATCGACATGTGATAACCCACACGAACTCGACAGCCCTTTGGGGTTGTGACCATGACCAGAGCAATAGAAGCGAGCCCTTGGCGGCGGATGGAGCAAAAGGAAAAGAAAAGAACGACGACAACGTAATGAGTTTCGAAACGGGCAGCGGTCACAGGCCATCTCCGGCCATACACGACATAACCGATGGTAACAGGTGGTGGAATGGTGGCCTTCGTCGACGAAGTAGTAGGCAGAGACGAGAGCTATCGAACTCGGTGATGCCATCGGCGGTTGAGGGGCTTCTATGGTGATGGCGGTGATCGGAAATGAAGGAGGAGAGTAGCGGCCTTGCTGATCGGGAAAACGGGGAAGTGAAAAGGGATGGTGGTGACCGCATTTGATTCTAGGTTTAGGGTTGCAAGTGACGGGAAAAGCAAGGACTTTATACCCGATTCCCAAACATTTTCCCATAATAACATGACTAGTCCCTCCTTGTAATATTTTTTCAAAACAAATCCCACATTTTCCAACTAGACCCCGCCATCAGAAAATCTTTCCAATCAAGTCCAAAATGTTACCATTTCTACCCTGGCTTTAAGAATCTTTTCCAAATCTAATCCATAATTTACACAACAACCCCTCACTCAACGAGTCCTTTCAACATAGTTCCAGAATTTACTCTTTTAACCTCAGTCACTCCAGATCCTTTCAAATTAAACCCAAATAATTTCCATGGAGCCCCTATCTCCATATATATATATATATATATATATATATATATATATATATATATATATATATATATATATATATATATACAAACTGAGTCTGAAACTTACACTTTTAATTCCCGACTTCCAAAATTGTGACAGTTAACTCCTCGAGACCATCACCTTGCAATATAATTATTAATTTTAGGGCTACTATTCATTCATTGATTTGTTTATTTATTTTATTAAATAAACAGGGTGTTACAAAACCCAATAGTAGATCTATACAAGGAGTTAACAAGTTATGGACTTTATACGTCAAAAGTCACGAAAAGAAGAAGCTAAATTTGGATCTCTAAGCTCTTCTCCAAATAAGGAGTCTTTAATCCGCTTCTGCCACTTCAAAATACACAAAAACACACCAATATGCTTCACAAGATCTCGAAAGCACCAAAACAAAGGCTAGGAACGAAATTAGGGTTTTGAAGATATGGAGGCTGGTCTAAAATGTCCAGTAGGTAGGTTTAAGAAGGTTAAATAGGGGACAAACCCTAAAAATTAAGGTTTGTCCCAAGCCAACGTACGCCCAGTGTAACCCCACATATGCTCATCGTATGTGGGTGATACCCGCAATCATGGTATAGCTAGTACGTTAAGCGTACTTATAGAGTATGCCCTGTGTACTAGCCAGAGGACCAATATTGCAAATATTTTGTTCAGTAAAGGGTAAAAGGAAACTTACAAGGTCTGAATGTTACAGGTATGGTTTAGGGATTTTTAGTCAGTGTATAGTTAAGAAAACCCAAATCGAATGAAGAGGAAGAAAACACTAGTGAAGGGGTCAAAATATAGTATATTTTTACCATTCCTTTGACAGCTTTAGTGAAGGCAGGTATGGAGGCAATCTGTGGGTTTCATAGGCTTATCAGCGATGACGAGATGTTAATGAAAGAGCAAGATGCATGGTCAAGGTAGAATAAAGTCGTGGCTTTTTGCTCTGATTACTAGTAACAGATCTAACGGTGGTGGTGGTGAAGGTCTGGAGGACACCAAAAGAAGCTTTAGGTGGAGTAGGTTTCTTTAATTTCAATTGGAATATGAGAGAAAGAGAATAAGATGGGCAGGAGAAAGGGTGGGTGCGGTGGGAAGAATAAAACTCAGGTGATGGAGGCTTATATTTATTAAATGATTTCTTTTAATGAGTTAAAAAAATATTAAAGTAATTGAAATAATCAGTAAGGGCATATTAATCATTTTAAGTCGAGTAAGGACCAAGCGTGTAACAAAACCAAAATATAGGGATGATCCAAGTTAAAACAAATCAGTTAGGGACCAAAAACGTAAATAACTCTAAACCATAAGGACCATTCGTGCAATTTACTAAAAAAGGAAAGACAAATATAAATTAAGAAAGTTATGTAGGTTAATTAATCTAGCTAAATGGCTAAAAAAGCTGAATACAAAAATAATATAATATCTTCATTATGCTAATTAACACCACAAACTATCAAAGTAGGGATATATCTATTTATCTCTTATAAAAGAGGTTATTCAAAATCACATGGTTAGAGATAATTTGTTTTTTCAAACCATATTGATTTGAAACTTAAATGACCTTTTATATCTCTTAATTAGTAGCATTAATTTTTTGCATTCTCTTATTATATAAGTACCTATATTAATATACTTTTCTTATGGGTAGACGTTAGGTGAAACAGGGAGGTCGATCGACGTTTTCAGAGTGAAATCGGAGATTGGAGAGCCGAACAGGAGAGAATCACAGAAGAGTGAAGTGTGGATAGAGTTTTTAGGTTTAATGGTGGTGGCGATGGCTTAGGGTTTTCAAAGAAAAAGAAGGGAGATAATAAGAAGAGAGTGTAGAAGTAAGGTTATAATTTTAGAGGATTTCATTTTCCTCCTTTAAAAACGTGTGTTTGAGTAAAAATTATAAAGCGGCATTTCTAGAGGACACAAATTTAAGATAAGCACCCTCCGTGTTTGTATTTTTTTGGACTAAAAACCAAAGATTATCAAGAGATAATTGAATAGAGCGTGTGAGGAATGAATGGGGGGTGATGAGCTATTTATAGGGCCAAAAAAGCCATATGTGTGTTGCGCACAAACAGGGTGCGCATCACGCCCTATCTTGGTTAGCAAGGGTACCCTCTCAGCGTGACATGTGTCAGGTAGTGGTTGGTGAGACGAGGCTACATACGTGCCGACATGCATGCGTGCTAAATGTTAGATTTTCAAAATTGCTAACTTCTTCATTAGAGATCCATTTTTTACGTTCTTTATATCCACGGAACGCTCCCGACGAGATCTACAACATTTGTTTAGACTCTGTCGACTAATTTGACTTTATTTGTTTTACATATACCCACTGTTAAAGCCTGTAGAAAATGAATAACTCTCTCATCCGACGTTCGTTTTTTACTGTCTTTATATTGTTGAACTCCTATTAACGATATCTTCAATTCGTGTTTAGATTGTTTCGGCTAAAAATCAACGATCTAAAATTCGATTTTTGAGTTGTATACACATGCTATTGGTTTAACGACTACTACAACTTTTGTTTAGATCATTAAGACTAAAAAGTAACCTACCAATTTTTTTTACGATGCGTGTTGTCGTATCGGGTCGAATCGCGAAACTTCAAATTATCGTAACTTCTTTGCTTTAAGTCCGATTTAGACGTTCTTATATCTCCGGAATCATTGTCATGACTACTTCATCTTTCATCAACGATATTCTGCCTAATTATTATTCTATTTCAGACGAGTATTTTATTACGATATTATATCGCTATAAGCACGTATACTACAAGTAATTACACATAGAACACATAATACTCATATAATTTTATTTATTTATTTCATATAAATATTACTATTGTTGAACCAATTATTACATCATATTGTTAATGCCTAACGAAAAATACAAGTGTTAAAAAGAAAGTCTTATTTTATTTTGTATATCATTAAACCTTTGATGGATCTATGTGGACATTGTTTCCCTAGCCGTGTCACCAAAAAGCTACGGTTACTAAGTCAAAGTCCATACATATATAATTTTCATATAATCTTTTATTCTACGAAGTTCCAATATTTGTTTCAAATGTCGATTTGGATGTCATATATGAAGCACGAAAAACTATAAATTTTTATAAATTTACTTTTTTAGTAAAAACTAATGTTTAAGTTAAAAAAAAACAAGCAAATGGTTGTAATTTATTTTTCTTTTTCTTTTTTTGAATTTGAATGTTTTTTAGAGCATGAAACAAGGATATATATATATATATATATATATATATATATATATATATATATATATATATATATATATATATATATATATATATATATAGAGAGAGAGAGAGAGAGAGAGAGAGAGAGAGAGAGAGAGATAGAGAGAGAGAGAGAGAGTGAGAGAGACAAGATCAAATAAGAAGGAAATTTTTGGTAGGAAAATAAGAAGTTTTTTTTCTACATATTTTTTTTCACGAACTAACAAAATGAATCATTATATATATGTTTAAGTTTATTTGAAACCATGCTAATTTTGTGAAATCGTGAGAACAAATCTAAAAATAATTTTAAAATACAAAATAAAAGGAAAAATCCAAAAAAAAAAATTAATTATTATTTTCAGAACTTTAATTATCTAAAAACATTTAAAAAAATAATAATTATTATTACCGTTTGTTTTTTAAATACGTGAAATATTCTAATAGAATATTACACTGTAAATATTATAATGTCGTTTTTAGAATGTTAGAATATTCTATTAGAATTGTCAGATAGCTAGAATATTCTAATATTCTACGAGAATATGTAAAAAATGTTTTTTTTTTTTTTTTTTAATTTTTTTAATTTATTTTTGGAAAATATAAATTATGAAAATAATATTTGAAAAAAAAATTTCAAAAATTTTCAATTATTTTGCATTTTAAAAATATTTTTTATCTAATAAATGAGTGGCTAGGATTCCGTTAAAGGAAAAGTCAGTTGCTAGAAGTGAAGTGTTGTCTGAATTTCGAGTCATCTCTTTAACAAGTGAGTGCATAGTTACTTTGATCTTACACATAGATATGAAGTATTTAAGATAATTACATGCTATACGTGCCTATCATCTATGTTCATGATATATATGCTAGATGAACAATCTAAACATGTTTTATTCAATTTAATATATATATATATATATATATATATATATATATATATATGTGTGTGTGTGTGTGTGTGTGTGTGTGTGTTTATACCTGTAAATATATTGGGTAGAGATGGATAGAAGAAAGAAAAAATAGATGAGAGAGGCCTCGAATTTTTGGTACGACAAGTACTTAATGTTGAGTCGTCTAGCGGAGTATAGATGACGACCACAAACTATTCTAGAGAGCCCAGCGTACGGCGAGGCCTCAGCCTCTTATAAATAGGATGCGAGGGTTCCGACATATTTGCTCAATTCTTCTCTTTTTCATGCCGAAGCTCTGCCCACGAGGAGTTCAATTTTTGTGAAGATCTTCCAGATCTGCCAAAGAATACTACTTCTACAAGTCGTAGTGTTGTCCGATCATCTTCTGAGCAAGTGAGTGTGTGGTTACTTTCTTCCAACACAATATTATGAAGTATTTTATGTAAAATACGTGCTATGTGTATATATTTTGTTGTTATATGTGTGAATGTATATTCACTCTCTTTTATCTCATAGATCTGATTTATTCTCTATGAAATACGTGTTATGTGTGTGTGCCTCACC